AACATCCCAATACAGCTCCTACTAGAACTTGAAAATCCCAAAATCCATGCACCATAGCCCAAACGGTCGCCGAAAAACCCAAAAAAATGAAAAATTGGAGAGAGCCTGCTCCCTCAAAGAGGGTGCTTGCTCTCTTACACTTAGATTCGGCTCCCCACCATGGGGAGCCACCTCCATGGCCTCCAGAGCCGGCTCCCTCTTTGAGGGAGCATGCTATTTCATTTGGGGAACCTGCTCCCCTTCAACAGGAGCCGGCTCTCCTTCTGCTCTTCGTCTTTTCAATCCGAAACCTTACACCGACGTCTTCCTCAATTTTCCGGCGAACGTTCTGTTTGCCCTCTCTGCCTCTACAGTCGTGAATAAGGTTCTAAAACCCTAGGCAGAACCTTAAGACATGTATTTATAGACCCATAAGGTTACCCTAATTCTAGTCCTAATACTAGACGGAAAAATGAGGTCGGCTACAGGTTGAAGAAAAACTAAAACCGTAACTAAATCCCACTAACATATTTAAATAATTAAAATAAATCAATGAGCACTAAATTAAACCATTTAACAATTAATTCAATTAAAGTAAAACAATAAGTTCTATAAAAAAAATTAATTCAATTTAATAATATAATTAAACAAGTAATTCAATTAATTAAATTAAATAAAATACTGCGTTTAAACAATTAATTAACAACAAATAAAACAACCAAACAAATAGCAAAAAAAAAACCACATAATAATGCAAAATTACAATAAAACGTCAAAATAAACCACCGAGACTATCCTTTAAAATTAGGGGTATTACATGTATCGGATAGTTCAACTCGTGAGTCTTCAACTGTTGAGACCCATAAGCAACTACCCGTTCTGTCTACATCAAAATACAACCCAAACCTTCCTGTGAAGCATCACAAAAGATCACGTAACCCAAACCACGTTCAGGAATGATCAAAACTGGGGTTGATGTCAACCTGACCTTCAACTCTTGGAAAGCAAACTTAAAGGCCTCGTTCCATATGAACTTGACCCTCTTGTGGGTAAGTCGAGTCATAAGTTGTGATACCCCCGGATTCCCAAATGCGGGTTGGCCAGGCCCACGCCCGAATGCCCGAGGATATAAAAAACAAATGGCAATAATCGAATACAAAATACAAACATGATAAATGAGAATAAATAAAATTGCAGAAAGAAAACTAAAACGATAATCCATTAATGAAATCCTCAGAACAAATTTTTATAAATAATAAAATATTCTGATACATCCAATCCTCCATTACTAATACAACTCGGGAATCCATACTACGTGGACCCTTAGAAAACCCAACTGAATAAGCGACTACATCAGAATACTGAAACATAAAGAAACTTCTAAGTAACATAATCCGAAAGAATGAAGTAGACGATCCCTGCTCAGCATGAATAATCCCTACTCCTGATGAATAGCTGAAAAAATGATGTTGGGTCAGGCCCACGTGCAAGTTCTACTCTATTACAGTCTAGGCAGAGACCTGATAGGCAGATACATCCTCGATAACTTAACAATAGGATGCTCGTTAGTCCATAAGTCTGTCTCAACCAGAATAGAAGGTAACATGTAAAGCGCACATCATGGTGGCCATGTATAGCTAGACCTACCAGGGAACATCAACTATGTCTAGTTACTCATTGTAGGCGATATACGCACCCTAACCTTGATCCTGAGACTCAAGTTCATATCACGGTACCATAATCATATATATATATAAATCCTTCCTAAAACAGAATATAAAACAAACATCCAATATGTCGTTCAACTATTTTAGTTGACAAGACATGAATCCATGTAGGATTTAACTGTTTTAGTTAATCCATTCCGTATGTATGAATAAGTAGGAATTAACGTTTTGATCTAATCCATCCCTAATATGCCACCGTCCCATACCGGTGTATATAATGCATATAATTCATAATTGATGCAACACTCATTTGAACATCAAATATATCTAGAAACAAGCATAATAGAAGTCAAATATATGCAAGATCCTATTATGCATCCAGTATGTAAGTATAATCATATAACCTCCGTTTAAATTGCTAGAGTAAGAATAAACAATTTAAATCATCTACATCCATATAATTGATATAACAGAAATTAAAATAGTTCATCAATTAAAATCCATAATACCATCCCTCTAATTGATATAACAGAATTTAATGATTCATCAATTAAAATCTAGAATCACATCCATGTAATTGATAGAACAAAACTTAATAGTTCATCAATTAAAAATTCAGAATAAACATAATAAAATTTAATAAGTATATGACCCTATTATGCATCCACATCAAGGTTTAAAATCAAGTCACAGTCCGTTACATTGCTAAAATAAAATTAAGCAATTAAATCCCTTATATCCGTTAACAGCATGCAAAATTATTTAAATTTTCATACTGTTAGACCCATTAGCATATAGACATTAATTATGTAATATGGGTTTTAATATAACATAAAATAATGTTTAGAATCTTCCACAATAATCCAGAACAGTCCGGAAACCTCAAAAATACCAAAATAGTGCTTTAAAAACGTTCCCGTAAGTCACTATGCGCGTGAGCTTGCTCTCAAAAGTTGAGACTAAGCTCTCAACCAATGGGAGCCGGCTCCCTTACCTTGGGAGCCGGCTCTGTGACTTAGGGAGCCGGCTCCCTCAATCCATGGAGCCGGCTCTCTCTCTCACAGAGGGCCGTGGTCTAAAATCTTATGTAGCCGGCTCCATCCCCTTGGGAACCGGCTCTGTCCCTGCTTCCTGTCATCGTTCCCGCCTCCGACAATACTATAAACACTCTGTAATGTCTTATTTAGGTTCCCAGAACACCGTCTATGTCCCAAAGTTACCCAAAAAACATATAAACTCAGTATGCATCATTAATAATAATTTAAAACAAAATTCAAACAAGTTATTCAGAGAATCAATTTCAATCATTCATCACATATTTTACAGTTTAAAATCTGAATTAACATGCATACTTAATCAATTTTAATATCCGTTTAGTTCCTGGAGACTACCTAAGCATGCACAGAACATCGGTCAAAGAAAGAGATCGAGTAAAAAATAGAACTTGTCTCTAGGTTTCGGATTGAAACCTTAACCTCTACTTCCTAGCTTTTCCGGCGATCCTTAGTTGTCATTGAACCTCCTTTGCCGCTCTTGGTTTAATCCACGAGCCAGCCAGTCTACCTCCTCCTCCTTGGTTCAGCCCTCTTGGCCGAACCCTAATTTTCTTCCTCTCAGTTTATCTTTTTCCTCTCTGTAAAACTCTCCGTCTCTAGGTATAAAATATATTACGTACATAAAACGTAGCCTCCTCTCCCAGACTTATATATATATATATATATATATATATATATATATATATATATAGGTTACATACAAAACCCTAATCCTATATATATTATAAGTCTACCTAATGAAAAATAAATAAGAGAATTATATTTACATACATACAACTATGTCAATACGTGATTTCATAAATATAATTATACTATATAATTTATAACTATAGATATAAATATATTTATAATGACAATAATAATCAATAATACTAACAATTAACATTATTAATAAAAATAATAATTATTTTCTCCTTATTTATACATATATACCCATATATATATGTATCACCAGTACATGGGTATATATTTGTACCCTTTTAAATGTCATACCCAATAGTCCATGTGACCCAATAAATGATCCATCACTGCTATCCAAATCCATCTCCTCTTTAAATTAAAATTAAAATAAAACATAAAGCAATATATCATTGAAGCCTAACAACTTAATTACAATTAAACCACACAATTAAACAAGCAATTTACACACAATTAAATAAACAATCAATCAAATACACATATAGCTACATAATCAAATAAAAATGCACAAAAAACAAAATTATAAAAATGCACAAGAAATAAAAATTTAAAATTTCAATTATATCCTTTTTCTATATATATATATATATATATTATTTATAATACTGGCAGAGTAATAAATTGTAGGAGTATCTGATTTTAAAAAAAAAAAAATGTAACACCAGAGACCGGAAAATTAATATAAAACTGTTACAAGAATAATTTTTTATTTTTTGGTGTTCAAGAATTAAAAATATTTCACAATATATTTGTTTCTAAAACTATTTCGGTAATTGGACTGGGTGTGGGTTTGGATAAGCCCATTTAACACCCAATTCATTTTTAACCTACCATAATAGGTTGATAATGGACTAGTTGATAATGGACTAGTGATCCATTACTGTCCCACCCATTCATGACCAACCCAAAATCTGCCCAAACTCACCCAATTCACACCCAAAAACCCAAATTACACCCAGGAGCTCTCACTCAAAGATAATATAGAAACTCACTCAACTGACCGATCGTCATACGAATGAGGTACATGGCTATTTATGGCCAAACAAATGCTTGTTGTACAACCGTGAATCTAGCTGGCGCCGATTTCTTCTTACTCACGCACTGTTAGCTGGTCCAAGACTGTAAGACCAAAAGCTTTGTCTAGTTGCTGATGTAAATACATCATAACCACAATTTCAACCGATCAAATTGGTTTCCTTAACCTGTAACTATAACTTACAATGATACAACTATATAATCTATACGACCCTCCTTTGTTCACAAGAACATCAGTTATTGTTGACCAACAAATTAGCATATATATATATATATATATATATAAAGTAACTTAAGCCAATGAAATGCGGGCACAAATTCCAACAGTGAGGGCTGATAACAATTTAAAAAATGTGAATCTACAAATTAACCTCAAGCACAGAAATTTGCATCACTTCTAATTGGTCTTCAAGTTGCTGTACAGTCACACATCTGATGCAAAAAGTGAGGGCTGATAACAATATACATGACTGAAAATTGATATAAAGTTAACCAACTCAATTACTGAGTGGAATAATACTTGAATTCTTCCATAACTTCTGTTATTTATTGCATTCTTTCAGCAGTACAAAAGAAGCATCTCAAAAGTTTAACAATCGATTTGAGATGTGTTAAAGGATTTAAAACCCTCTCCAACAACTTTAACTTTTGAAGTGGATGGTAGTTGCTATGGTATCAAATTTAAATCTCACGACTTCAAATTTTACTGTCACCCTAATTAAAAAAAATAAAAAAAATATGTGTTAAACCAAAAGAAAGTTACACACAAGGGGGATGAGTGTTGACAACATCCGTACAAAAAAGATATATAACACAATTTTTTGTGTTCACATATATTCTCCTGCATAGAAAATTTAAGTAGTTGTTTCAAGAAATGGATAATCAGTGTAGCCAATAACAGGATCTGGTATGGCGAATGTGTCTCTATTGTATTTATTGAGAGGAGCATCAAGCTTGAATCTCTTCGGCAAATCTGGATTAGCCAAGAAAAACCGACCATAAGCAACAAGATCTGTACGGTTCTCAGCCACAGCTCTGTTACCTTCTTCCCTATCATAACCCCCTGCAACAATGAAAGTACCATTGAAAGCCTTTCTCATGGGCAGAAGACTATGGAAGCATTCAACTTTTCGTTCCAGCATAGTTTCCATCCTAGGCTCAACCACGTGACAGTAGAGAATACCATATTTATTCAATGATTCAGCCATATAGAGGCCTAGAGCCTCCGGGTTTGAGTCTCCTGATTCCATGTAATTTGCAAAGGGAGAAAGCCTTATTCCCACTCTATTTGCTCCTATCTCATTAGCGATAGCTTCAACTATTTCTATAGCGAATCTGCAACGATTCTCCATAGAGCCTCCATACTTGTCTGTGCGGTCATTGACTTGGTCTTTCATAAACTGGTCTATTAAATAACCATGAGCCCCATGGATCTCAACTCCGTCGAAACCTGAGTATCAAATAAACATCATTGAATCAGAATATGAAGAGTGACATTTAAAACTCTGACGTTGAAGAAAAACTTTATTTTTTATTAGTGTCTAAATGTAGCTTCGAAAGCTTACCAGCTTCCATAGCGTTCCTTGCAGCAAGTTTAAAATCATTGACAACTTGGGGAATTTCATCTGCAGTCAGGCGTCGTGGAGGTGAAAATTCGGCGGCACCAATACCATGAAGGTGCTGAGGAGCCACTGGCTTGTCCGTACAAGATATAGTACCTTGCCGATATCAAAAAAATGCAAAAAGTTAATTCTTGTGTTTTCAACTATAGTGTATTTAAATATATAAAAATGCCACAGCTGAAAACTAGAATGCAAATGGTCTAGCCTATGAATTCTGTTACACAAACAAGGAAGCTATTTATACTTTTTCATTAGTCTACGATTCTTTTCAATAGGAGAAAAGAATACCATAGTCTACGATGACTATGTGACGTATATATCCCAACAACTAAATTACCTTTAAATATACCCTTAAAATCAAAGAAAAAAAATTCTAAAACAATTTTTTTTTTTTTTAAATTATTATTTTCAAAATTACAAGTCAAACAATTATTTTTTAAAAAAACTTTTTGTGTTTTCAATGATTGTGATGATTGACGTATATCCTAAAGTGGATGATTAGATAAAAGTTATACTTGACAAAAAAATAATAATAATAATAAACAAGGTAAGAACTAAAAAAATAATACACCTTGATTTGAAAATTGAAACCCTATCCAAAGGGATTGATTATTGAAAAGTTACAAAAGGGGATAAATCAGGTAAAAAAAAAAAAAAAAATTGATACCTTGTTTTGCAGCTCTTCCCCCATGCCAAATCTGGCAAAAGAAGATACCACCTTTGTCATGCACAGCCTCCACTATGGGTTTCCAGGCTTCTACTTGCTCCTTTGTCCATATACCAGGTGCATCTGGGTACCTATGTATAGTCATGAAGATAGCAAAACTACTGATTAAACCATGAAGAAATTAAGCAAATCTATGAACCCAAAGAACTATTAATTACTTATATACCCTTTGCTTGTGGCAGAAACTACAGTGGCCTCTGCTATGAGAAGCCCCCCTTTGGTGGTTCTCTGGGAATAGTACAAGATAGCAGGTGGCTGAGGAACATGTCCGAATGATCTCAACCTGCCCAATGGCGCCAAAACAATTCTGAAAATTGTGGAGCGCAAAAACAGTTATATTACATTCTTTGTTGAGCTTTGAATGGAGTGTTGATATATAAGACATATATATATATATATATACCTATGGGAAAGTTGGAAGTTTCCCAATTTGTATGGAGTGAGAAGAGGGACTTGGAGGCCATACTCATGCTCTTGGCCTTCTTCTGCTACTGCTTTCTTTTCAATTTCCATTTCCATTTCTTTTCCTTTCAACACTCCAAATGAATGAATGAATGGTTGGAGTACAACTAATTAAATTGGCCACTTAACTACTCGTATCTATAGATTTGGTGGCGGCTGTGTTTGATTGGGCGACACGACACGAGAGTTTGTAATATGACTTTGGCACCTACTAATTTCTCCTAAAAGAATGATTAATAATTACGAGCACACTAGCCAACACCATCGTGCTATTGACTTTTCCTTGGCAAACTTATCTTTACTTGATTCACAAGTTTATGTGTGGGACCTCTTTGTTTTTTTCCTCTCACCTATGTTGAAGGACGACAATAACGACTAACTTAGTTATTGTCGTGTTGTGTGAGAGTATGAATATTTTGTAATTAAAAAATGAATTCTAATACAAATATGATGTTAGAATTTTACATACACAATTATTAAATATAATAAATAAAAAATCACACACAAATAACAAAAGATATTTACGTTTCGTATTGTATTAGAATATGAATATTTTGTTGTACAGATATGCACTTAGGCACTTACTACTGGAAGAATTCCTAACGTATAGCATTAGAATATGAATATTTTGTTGTACAGATATTGCACTTTGGCACTTACTACCAGGAGAATTCCTAACTGAGTCATGACGTGGTTGTTTTTAAATATTAAATAAAATAAAATTGTAGTTGAGGACTGCCGAACGCCGTCGTGCTAGTGACTTTTCCTTGGCAAACTTATCATTTACTTGATTCCCAAATTCAAGGTTGGGGCTTATTTTGGTCAAAGGACGACAATAACAGTAACAGTAACTTGACTGTTGTTTTTTTTAGGGAAAAAAAAAAGTAGTTATGTATGATGAAATAGTATCATAGCTTATATTGTCGCGCAGTGATAAGATTCATTATAATATAATACTTTTTTAATATAACAGAATAATTGGTTGATAATATAAATACGGAGATATTAATAGTGCAAGAAAATTTTTCTCCCTTTTAGTGCGTCTAAATCTATTATCTGCAATAGTTTAAAATCAATAATATAATACTTTTAAAATAATTGTAATGAACCGGTCATTTTTCTTCCTTTCTTTTTTCTCAGATTTTTACGGATATTTTTTTTTTTTTTTTTTCCGTTGATCTTTTCCTTTATGGGTTTAATTTTTCGTCACTTAGTGTCATCTCGAGTGCTCTGAAATAGTTTTTGAGACTATTTTCCTTGAATTGACAACTTCCTTTGAGAATTGCGTCATTTTTATATTTTTACTTTTTGGACACTATTCACTTTTTCGTCTTTTTCCCTATTTTGTCTTTTCCCCGTTTGTCACTTTTTGGCACAACTTCACCTTTTGTGCTCAGAATTGGTTTTTGACTTCATGTATCTTCATTCTAAGTGGGTTCCATGAAATACATATCTTTATTTTTGTAGAAAGGTACTTTAGTTGCTCCCGATGTCCATAGGGATATGAATGCAAAGTTCTTCAGAAACTTTTCCTTTTCTTGGGGTGTTTTTCGTAAATATCTTTTGAAAATATTTTATTTCAGGAGTTTCTAAGAAAATATTTTTGGAAGTTATTTTCATTCTGGGCGAGTTGTGTAGTTTTCACTATTTGGATGGGTCATTGTACAATTAATGAAAGTTATTACTAAATGCCTTATTTTGAGCCTAGATTCTCGTATGGGATTCATTTTCACTTTTTTGTCGAGTTGTGTACTCTTAGAATTTCTTTCTGATTGTTTTTCTCCAGTTTCAGGGTTCGTAACCTTAGTTGCCGTCAAACTTGTTTGGAGCATATCTCTCTGCTCGGGATTCAGTTTTCGACACCGTTTCTTTCGTTGTTCATATTTTCTCATTTCGGTCCTTTTTTATTCACAGTGTTTTGCCGTTTGAGCCCGTCTGCTCAAATTTTACTTTTTCGGACCCGGCGGGACCCTTTCGGGATACTTTTAAGGTTTTTCTATAAATAGGAGGTCTTAAGAAGAAAAATTAGATTTTTCTCTCTTTCTCTCCTCTCTCTTGGCCGGCAGCCATGGCAGCCAAGGGGCTGCCACCCTCCTCTCTTCTTTTCTGGCCACTTCCCTTTGGTAAAAAGGTGCGTGCCTTAGCATTTTATGCTTATCTTGACGACGCGCATCTTTCCCCCTTATTAGAATCCATTTTTGGCCATTTCTTGAGTATGGGTTTGAGGTCAAGTTGTGATTTTGATGGGGCTTCTTTGGGATCCATGTTCACCGTGTTGTCCTCGACAAAACCTAGAAGTTTCATCGGATTCGAAGCCGTTTCATTTCGGTAGGGATTTGAGATTTCATCTCAAATAGAGGTGAGGGTGTTATAGTTTCAATTTCTTGTTGTCTTGCATGCTATTAATACTTATACAACTTATATGCATGCTTTTGTTCATAATCTAGAAATTTAATTTAATTATTTCTTGTATAAGATTTAATTTATATGCTTGTCTATAGCTTGGAATCAAATTGTGGCATGCTAGGAAATTAAGTCTTGATATGATTATTAACATATATTAAATTGGGTGGATTTGAATAAGTATTGAGACTTTTATTTAATATTTTTCTTTGGTTAAAGTTTAATTCACATGGTCATAATTAGCATGAAATTGACTTGTAATGTGATATTAAATTAGGCATTAGTATGTTCTTTAACATATGTAAATTTGAGAATATTTGGAATTGATTTAAAATCTAGAGGTAATTAATTTCATTTTAAGTGTTGTAGTTACTTAATTGGATTTTTAATTTGATATTGTTGATAACCATGCTATGTCCCTTAACATATATTAAATTGAGGCTATTTGGAATAGATTTAAAATCTAGAGAATTTAATTATTTTTATTTAATTAATTTTTTATCAAATTGTTCCATGTATTTAATTATGTTGTAGAAGTTGTTTTTATATTTAAATCATGAATTTGGACTTGTTATATAGTCACTTGGTTATGTTATAAGCATTGAGCAACATCGTTATTAAAATTATATTCATGAGAACATGTTTCCAATATTGAATATAATATTGTCTTGTATGATGAATTGCACACTTTGTACTTGACATTATATATGCCATTTAAGAATTGAAAGTCTAAGGCATGGATTGTGTGGTTTCAACCTACTTGTACATGGAAGGTAGTTTCGTGCATTAAATAAATTATGTATAAGTTGTGAACTTATTTGGTTTATTTTGGAGTCTTGGGACATTGTTACAAGTGATATGATTAGAGTTTAGCTCTAGTGCGGGAGGTATGAGTTCTCCCCAATTGAGATAGTGCGCAGTAGGGTAGTCTTCCCAGCGGGTTAATGCCCAAAATAACCATTGAGTTCTCGGAGGAAATCCGAGATTTGATGTCCAAGTCTTCCACTTTTTGATTTCGCATTGAATTCCAAGTTGACAATCATGTTTAATTGTGACTTGTGGTTTTGACTATTGGCGATTTAATGTTGTTAAGTACATTTGTGCATTATGATTTTTAAGGAATCATCACATATTTTTTATGTTGTTAAGTACATCTATGTTAAATTGCTATATTTAGTTGTTTTCACACTCTTAGATTTCAAGTTGATAATTTTGAAAATCTATGTCTTGATGTGTGGTATTAGAAACTCTAGTTATACTAAATTGCTATATTAAGTTGTTATTGCATTTTAGATTTCAAGTTGATAACTTTGAGAATGTACATCTTGTTACTTTATATAGCATGAACTTATGTTGTTGAAATTGCATGAATGATATGATTTATGCTAGAGATGTTCTAAAGTAGCTTAGGATGCTCCCTGAGTCTCACATTTGACATAGACGTTAGGTGGCATGACCATTTTGAATGGTTTCATGTTAATGTAAAAATCTATAAGAAATCGAGTCGATGTATGCTCATTCCCTACAAGTAAACTTGTTTACTCACCCCAAAGTTACTGGGGTATTATTCAAGTACAAGATTCAAAATTCAGAGATCTGCACTTGCCTTGGGGATTTGGAGATTTGAAGTTTCTTTTAAAGTATTCTTGTTTGCATGCAAGTGTTAGCATGTTTAAGTCTTGCTTATAAAGATGTAATTCTTAATTAGGTTCAATTATGCCATTTTTGCCTTATGATATGTAAAGTGTACATAGATACACTATTTGGAACCTATTTGATATATATGACATAAGGCCAAAGGCCACAAACTTCAAAGTTCAAGTGTATGCATTTAAATTCTAAGTTTTGCCTTTGAAATGTAATTTTTTCTAACTTTGAGGTTTGGCATGTGTAATCTTGTAAATGAAATGTAATGATGCTATGGGCCATTGTAACACACTTTATTATGTAAAGTACACTTGTTGGCATGCTTATATAGCTTAAAACCTTTGTTTTAAACCAAATCATCATAGGATTTGAGGGTTAGGTTAAATCTCAATGTTCTTGGCATGTAGCAGGTCTTCCAACAGCTTTTTGAGTCATTTCGGTCGTTCGAAATGTTGGTTTGGTCGACCGATGGCTTTTGGGAAACTCATTGCACAGTAAAAACTCATTTGCAGTAGTCTTTTTCACTGTTTAAGACCATTTCAGTCGACCGATGGCCTAATCCGGTCTACCGAAATAACCTCCACTTAAAAACATGTTTTTAGCACAATTTTTGCCCAGTTCGGTCATCTGAAACTCCTGTTCGGTCTACCGAAAGAGTCCTCATTCAGCTGCTTCTTCAGTTTTGTTTCAGCATTGTTGTTCCGATTTCAAATGGTCATAACTCCTTCATTTTTAATCTAAATGGGGTGACTCTTGAGCCTAAATTTATGGATTTTGAGTCAGCTTTCCAATGGTACTAATGCCATTCTCAGATTCAAATCACAGTAGGAGCTATTCATGTTTTAGGGAAAGGGCATTTCGTGGGATTCTTGTCCAATGTTCTTGGAACCTCTTGGAATGTTGTGAAATGACTAGATTAGGTTGTATTCACCTTGTTTGACTTGTTTAGATTCAAGTTTCTCCTTTTTATTTATGAATTGACCATTTTGCCCCTTGGTTAATAGATTTTACCTGTTTTGACCTTTG